ATTATTGGCACCCTTGGTAAATATGATCAAAGAAGGCTGTGAAAATAAATCTGCATTGTTAATCATTTTGATCTTTTAATTAAAAAAAATTCACAGATATCTAACCTTTCATTGAACTAAAACAATTGAAAATGAGGGAAAATCTCATTATGAAATAAATGTTTTTCTCAAGTACACGTTAGACACAATTATTGGCACCCCTATAATCTCATATCTCATATAATTCTTATGAGTAAAATATGTGTGAAGTATATTCCCATTCATATTTACAATTTTGAGCACACCAGGGTGATTATGAACATGAAATTATCCAGCCATGGCTTCCTGTTTCACGGAAATATAAATAGGAGGGAAAACAAAGCCCAAAATTCCCTTAATCATCCATCACAATGAGAAAAAACAAAGAATATATTTATGATGTGCAGCAAAAGATAATTGAGCTTCACAAATTAGAAAGTGACTTTAAGAAAATTCCCGTTCCTCGCTCCTCACAGTAGGGAGTGTGACAGAAGACTCGACCTCAAAAAGATGACTGAAGCTGAGGACGCGCTGTGGGGTTTGAGGTTGGAGCGATATGTGGAGGATTTTCTCGAGCTCTCTAACCAGGTGAGCTGGCACGCTCTAGGTGTGTGCTTCCTGCTGGGGTTAGATGATGAGATTATTCGCTGCGATCTTCCGACGTGTGATCTTCCTTAACTGAGCTGATTAATCTCGTGCTGTTCTTAAATGGTTCTGATTTCGAAGTGGAAGAAGTAAAGAAACTTCCCAAGCCTCGTCATCCAACTCCCGCTGGAACGCGCCGCGTCTCCCCAGCTCACCCCACACCGAGAACCTCCACATACCACTCCAACGGCTCTTACCGCCTGCCTAACCCCAAATCCCCCGGGGTCCTCCGAAGCTCCACCGGAGCCTACTGCCCAGGAAGGGCTCCGGTTCCCGAATATAGCCCACGGAGGGCTCCTGTTTCCCAGTTAAGCCCAGGGAGGGCTCCTGGTCCTGAGTGTAGCCCGCCGGGGGCTCCTGATTCCCAGTTAAGCCCCGGAAGGGCTCCTGTTTCCCCGTTAAGCCCAGGGAGGGCTCCTGTTTCCCTGTTAAGCCCAGGGAGGGCTCCTGTTTC